TATGCGTGATGTGTAACTAAACATTCATTCAGACATAATTCTTACACAAGATTAATACAAGAAGGCAATTGGTGTCATGGCTTACTGCTAACCTTGAAGCAGAGCACACAAGAGCAGACTTTGAATCTTACTAAACTGCGTTACTAACACATATTAAAGTCCAACACATTAAAGTCTAATATCTGACTGATTTATTAATTTCTAACAGTATCCACAAGCCTTAAGGGAGTTCTGGATGTGTAGTTTTTCCTTCTTGGCCCCTTCTGCCGTTGTGGGCACTTCCTCTGCCCTGTGATGTATATGTATAGAACACCCCTCACTAAATAGGGGTGGTGGACTAAGACACAACTTGACTTCCATCTACAATCCTGTTTTGAGATCTCTGCCCAAACATGCCCACCAGGACAATAGGTGTCGGTCGACAGGGGAGGTTTCAAAGACAGGTAACGACTCTCACCGATACTGGGCTGCAATGACTCAGGCGTTAAGGGACATTGTTGGCCTTCAAAGGACTGAAACCACACCGAGGGGGATAAATATCTCCGGCTCAACACCAGTCAGTCAGAACTGATGAAGCCTCTTGGATGAGAGGTGAAACGTCTTCGATCTAGATATCTAAGTCCAGTTGATTTTTTCTAAGGTTTTTTAAGTTTACTATGACCTGGAGTGATAAGCTAAGTGAAATTATGAGGGACTATGCATTAGTCGACTGAGGTGCAATATTCAGCTCCTGGGGGTGAAATGCATTGTAAATAGGCTCATGTGTAATATATTGGTCCTGATCTCTCTCAAATACTGTACATTGCCCTGCTTTAGGTATTTTTGAATAGTTGCTCAGAGATTCTTATGGCTGAAACACAGGTTTCTTTCCCCCATTGTGGGATTAATTGTGAGAGTAATATTCAATTGTTCTTGATTTCCTGGTTTTCTTGATTCCTTTCAATACTATTCTTTTTTGTCTTGTTCCTAGGTATCTTTTTTGACTTGTTTCTCAGGGACAAACTGTGGGAGATCTATTCTTGTTCTTGATTGTCTCTGAAATACTATATTTTTGTTAGGTTTTTCGGGTACCTGGATCTTGTTTTCTCAAGATATGTGTGGGGTGTTTATTCTTATCTTGTCATGTTGTTTTGTCCTTTACTGCTGCTGGAACACTGGAATTTCCCACTGTGGGATCAATAAAGTTCTACCTACCTACCTACCATTCTCTGTCAGTCCTGTTGTAGTCGTTGAAGCCAATTCCCAGCTGACTTTGAGCAAGAGGCTGTTATGGTTTAGTCCCCATCACCAGGAGGGTGAGGGAGAACTGAGGTAGGACTCAAGAGTGCTGACCCAGGTGCTAGTAAAAAAACAGGTGGTTTATTGATGGGGATCACAAAAAGGAACAGAGTCAATGAATACATACAACCAGGGCTGGGCAAGGACGGCTGAGGAGACCAGGACAACCAGGGGAGTAAACAGGCTAGCGGCAGGAACCAGGAGAGTAGGAGGATGAGGACGGACAGGTGAAAAATAAGAGAGTGGCGAACGACAAAAGAAATCAGCAGCACAGGAACTGTCGGCGTTGAAATCTAATTACACATCGCTAAACTCATGGAAACAAAACATACAAAGAGATCCACAGCACAGGAACTGTCAGCATGGACTTCTAGAAACATATAACACAAAACAACATATAACCAACATACAAAATGAAATCCACAGCACAGGAACTGTCAGTGCAGAAATCAAAATGACGTATCACACATACCATCAATACAGGTATTTTGGTGTAAGTTCTGTTAATGCTCCGGCGATGACGGAGCATCTGCCAGAGGCATAAATAAGGAGGAAGGTAATCATAGGGATGCACCCCAGCTGTGCGCACCGACAAACGAGTCGCTAATTACCGAATGCAACACAGCTGAGGTGCAGATCCCGCAGGTCGAGAGAGCAGGGGAGAGAAAGGCGGAAGAGAGGCAGGTCGCGCCAAGTGGACCTGACAGAGGCTAGGTACTCCCTGGACCAATCGCCAGTAATATTTCAAATTCAGCACAATAATAACAGTAACATTTTGTAATATAACTTGGTAAATGGTTTTATACTTGTACTGTATGGCGCTTTACAGCACACTCAAAGTGCCTTCACACTACTTGACCATTCACCCATTCGCACTCCCAAACACTCACACACCGGGGTTATCATTGCGAACAACTGGGGGTGTCTTGCTCAAGGACACTTCAACATGTTGACTGGACAAGCTGGGAATCAAACCTCTGGTTAGGAGGCAACCTGCTCTACCACCTGAGCCACAGCCACCCCCGCTTCTTACCTGTGAGATATTATACATTGTTTCCTGCTTTTGGATGTTCTAACAGAACAAATGCCAAAAGCAGACAGAAGTCTGGTGTTTTCTACTATTTGAACTGGCCGGAATTCGTCAGACTGATGGATGCAATATAGCAGCAGATGTGATCAGAAAACCAAGTGCGGCATCTAGTGTTAATATCTATGTGCCTCTTGTATTATCTGTAATTGTTTTGAATTTATAGCTCATGTAACATATGTTATAGATTATACATTTAGGATTTATTTCTGGTCACACCAATCGCAGTTCTCAGAGTTAAACTTGCTGAAAAAACTTAGCAGAAGGTACCTGGATGTAGTTTTAGGTAGAAAAAGAGTTAAACTTCTAATATGGTGGCTCCAGATCCAGTGGCTATTCTGACATTTACACCAAGTGTGGTATTCAAATCTCTGAACCCACAAGTAAAATTTAATTTGGATCAAAGTGAAATCCCTAGGGTGGCAATCACACAGAAAGAGTCAATAAAACCATGACACCAGACACACCATGTGTTTCCTGGTGGAATTTTGTGTGGCATGCAATTCTTCTTTACAACAGACACACTGTACATTATCTGAGCTCTTACTCAGTCCAGACAATCTCAGTCACCTTGTGCTGAGTATCTGGCGTTTTTGAAGTAGTCCACCTGTAGTGATATATTTAAATGTGATTACCCCAATAGCATATGTTGCTGTTCTATATTGCTTTATAATGTTACTTCCTGCTTGTTTGAGACTTATCTCTCAGAAAGGTAATTTGAATGCAAGCTTTTTAAATTATATTGGGCCATGCTACCCAGTTTTAAGCTTGGAATTTAGCTTGGTTTTAATAATAAATAATACATACAAAATTTCTATATTTAACTATACTTAGTGTTAACCAAACTTGTTATTACTGCATCTTGCCATTATGGGACTTTATGTGTTTTATATTATCAATATAATGAAAAAATTGTTGACTGCTTAAAGCATAGTTCAAATGAATATGACAACATACCAATTAAAATGTAAATTGCACAAATAAACAGTGGTCAAGACAGTAGAAGAACCTGTCTTGTTTAAAGTATATACTATTGCTGTTTCAATATTCCCTTTGATATGTACTAGCAGCGGATTATCTGGGGAGACCTTACCTTTGAACGGTCATTAATTTTCAGTAAGCAAACTGCAGTGAACTTGTCACCACTACTCATTTTATTACATATTACTGTCTGATTAATCTGCATAGGTTATAGATTAATATCATCAATAAAAAGAATTAAAGTGACACACAATGTCAGTGTGAATTGCATTTGAAGGCGAGTTTTCCTTTAAGGAGCTGTAAGCGGATTTATGACACTGTTTGTGTGCTGAGCTGTTCCCAGGCAGTATTGTGCTTGATATAGCTGGAATGCTTGGATAGCAACAGTAACAACTTTTAGCTTTGGCTGGTTTGTGAGGAGAAGTAACACATCTCAGCTGTAGAGACACTCAGTGACCACGGGCTCCTGAAAGCCTTTTCCCCCGCTCCTCCATCCCCCAATTTCTCCCTGACATCGTCAAACTATTTCCGCGTCATTTCTGCCTCACGTCCTTTGAAAAGACACTGGAAGACTAAGCCGACCGCCCCGCCCACAGACCCGTCCACTACCCAATTACAGCCAGGCATGGAACTTAATGTAACCTATTGCATTGCAGCTTCTGTGGCGTCGGGTAGCAACAGAGTCTTTAGAGGGTGCGTGCTGAGTGAGGGTAGAGACTGCATTTATCCGAGTACAGAGAGGTTGAGCTATTTAGAAAGACTGGACACAAAATGACTTTTTGTGTGTTGCATGGTAAAACCTAGCCTCATATTTTTCAGGTCTGGCATATTTGCCAGAGTAACATACATGTTATAATATTTTCAAATGCCATCATTAACTTAAATGTTTGTGCTCTTAAACTTTGTCCACTGAAAGACTTTTTTGAATGTATTCTTGATGTAGTTATTAGAGCAACCTAAAAGTGTAGGCTATTGTTTGAGTGGAAAAAATAGAATCCTCTTGCTGTTCATTTCCCTCTGGCGCAGATTATTGAATAATGAAGTACCTAAAAGCAGAGCACCAGCCTATATAAGAACCCAAACTGTAGGCCTGTTTACAATTAAACCCACATTTTGGTTAAAAATTCTCTCTCTCTGTTTATATATATCTATATATTCAATTCTATCAGTCAAACATAAGTAATGTCTGTTACTAAAGTGGCTATTCGTGTGCTATGCATTGTGTAAACTTTTTTTTTTTTTTTTTTTTTTGCATGTAGCACAGATTTATCCACAAAATTGAATCAAATGTTTAAGTGAATGTTGTCTATGTATGCGAGAAGTTCCAGTATATATAACCCACTGTTACTATAAATGGACAGGACAGGAGATCTGCTTGGAACAAACTACTGAGGCCAGAGGGAAGGTTACTGTCCCCTACCTCACTTGAGCTGTTGATTATGTTACACAAAATATGTTGTTCTCTGATTGATGGTTGATGTGAAATTACACGTGGAGTGTCGATAATGTTATTTTTTGTCCAGTGTGCGTTCATGTCCTTGCGTTACCAGTACTGTCTAAGGCTGGCCCAGACAGCGCTCCGACCCCTACCTCGGGCACATGGTATCATCCCAGGGTGGGGGAGGCGTGTGGGAGAGGAGCGCATAGTCCGACTGACGGAGAAGCACGGAAAGGGAAACGGACAAGAAACACGAATCGAAGTCGTCCATGTGAAGGTTTCCACCTCGAAGGAATTAAGAATATCCCAGCTTCCGAGAAGAACAAATAAATGAGGACACGGAGAATGTGAAAAGAGAGCGACAACAGACGGAAGACGAGGCGATCAAAAGCGTCAGACAGCAAGCTCAGGAACTTGACGGGGTTCGGTTTCTTTGGTTTGCTTTGCTTTGAGAGGAGTTTCAAGTTTTGGTTCGCTACAGCTCAGATGTTTTGTGATTTTACTGTAGTATTATTACCACCACAGCGGCTGACTTCTCAGATCGAGTTGACAGTTCGGCGTTTGGAAGTATAAATATAGTAATCAGCGGCTTGTCCAGTGTATTTCTTCAACACGCGGAATCATTTGACATCTAACACCACATATTGGATCTAAACATGTGTCTCAATTTCCAATTTTACCCCCAGGGGAGAGGGGTGTGTAGGTGATGTGCAGTATCTGTTCTTGGAATGGTTTGTCCAGCCGGTCTTGCCAACCGCCCAGTTGGTTCTGCATGTGGATACCCTGCTAGAGGAACTTTGTCTGGAAATCCACACGTTACAGTGGACTGGTTTGTTTACAAGTGCTTGTCGTCACAGAGACCCCCTGTATAGTGTAAGGAGATTACATTATTGTCTGGCTTTTTAAAAGGACTCATTTTCACCGTGGCAGAGGCCAGCCATCTCTTGCTGTGGGCAGGTGAAGAGGATAGACCAAAACACACCCAGGTTCTGTGACATTGCCAGTGCACTGCTGTGTGTGTCACCGCATTAATCTGAGTGATAACATCATTCTACACTGCCCTAGTCTGTTCTGTGATGAGCTTCCTCAGAAAACACCAGCAGTTGGAGCTATTTTTAGTGTAAGGAATGGGGTAAAAGCAGACAGCTGGAAAGTCAACTCCCCTCCACCTCCTCCTCTTTCACCCCCTATATCACACTACCTTGCTCAGCCCACCCAGCAGCATGCTGGGTGATCCTGGGTGGCACAGATTTGAGTTATAGCTTGTCGATGTGCTTTACAAGTGATCTGGAAGAACAACAAAAACTGTGTGAACTTATTGGGCCAGTTAATAGGAGACCTGTTGGAATCACACCTAAGCAGTAACCTGGTTGTACTGTGCACTGCACAGTTAAACCCTGTTGTGGATTAGCAGTATGAAGATGTCTGAAGGACTACTAGCTGAATACTTGTGGTCAAACCTGTCCTGGGCTAAGTGAACCTATCAGCCTGGACATTTAGCTAAAACTCTGAAGTCAGGCTAGCCACTTGTTGGCGTACTGGATTAGAAGAAAGGCCTACTTTTAACTACCTAAAACTCACCAGCAGCCTGGAGCAGTACGAACCTCCAGCACACAGAAAGAATGCATGAAACTTCTGAAACCAACCAAATTAAAAGCCAACCTGACTAACCAAATATTCTTTTTTCTGAAATCCCCATACCCACAGAAAAACAGAATATATAGATGACAGATATATAACCCTATTGTAACTCCACAGAAGATAGAGATTACATCCTTTATATTTTTACTTCAGAGAGACAAGCTGCCTGTACACCAGTTGGTTGCCTTAGAAACCACAGTCACAAAAAAGAAAAAGAAACAAGCCAGAGAAGACGGTGCCTTTTTGCTTAGTTGGTTTCCCACCATTTCAAGATTTGTTGGGTCAGTTGGATGTAAACTGTTGAACCGAACTCTGGGATTGAAAAGAGATCTGATTACAGGTGCCTGACACTTCATGAGCTCTGCCCACTTGTTAAAACATTTTGATTGACAGTGTTTCCCTGCTGGATTGAACAATTAACAAGCATTTTAATGGTGATCACGTCATCATCTGTGGAGGACAAGACCATACGCTCTTGCAGGATGGTCCAATCAGAACCCTGGATCACTTCTGTCCTGCTTCGCAAGAACAAAAGTCAGTACACACACACACACACACACAAAGTATCAACACACAGATCACAAAAACAGACTGAAATACACTTCTGGCTATGTTGTGTAATAAAGGAATAGAGGGACTGTGTGTGTGAGAGTTAGGTAAGGCGAGTTTATTTATATAGCACATTTTCATGCACAAAGGCAATTCAAAGTGCTTAAAATAATGTACACAGATGGATAAAACATTACAATGCATATATAATTAAAACAGAATGCAATTAAGGTAAATATTACCAAAGCAACAAATGCATGACAGTACAAGTAGCAACACACATGAGCAGATACCTAGTACTTTTAGTATAGCTGTCAGTCTGTGGATTCTCACTGTTCTCATTATACTTGTACCCCTTTACTTCAAGTCTTCCCAAGACTGACCTTTGAGTAATTTACACCAGAGGCAGGTGTACTTTCCTCCAGAAGAGTTGAAATGTCAGTTTCTAAACAGTCAGCTAAACAGCATAATGAAGTCAGTTGATTGTTGGGGAATGGATGACAAATAAACGAAAAAATAGAAGTAGATAAAGTGCAATTTTGGGTGGAATTAAGAAACAATTAAAAGCAGCAGAAAAAAGAAGTCCTAAAAAGTGGCTCCAGTTGGAGCAGATCTAGTGGGGGCTGGTTCCAGCTATGGACAGCATCATGGCTAAAAGCACTTTCACCTTGTTTAGTTCAAACTCTGGGCACCACTAGCTGACTGGTCCATGCAGCTCTGAGACACCTACCAGGCTGGTACTTGGCAAACATACTGTAGCTCTGATATATTTTGGGCCAAGACTGTTGAGAGACTTGCAGCCAATAATTAGGGCCTTGAATTGAATTCTGTATTTGACTGAAAGCCAGTGCAAAGATCTAAGGACTAGAGTGATGTCTTCTCTCCTCTTGTTGTTTGTCAGTATTCTAGCAGCAACATTTTGAATGAGTTATAATTGTCTGATGGTCTTACTGAGGAGGCCAATCAGTAGTGCATTACAGTAGTCTACCCAACTAGAAACAAAAGCATGAATGAGCTTTTCTAAATCCTGCTTAGACTGGAGGTTTCTGATGTTAACTGTGTTTAAGATACCAAAAGGATGAGTTGGTTACAGCTTTGATGTGGTCATTAAAATTTAGATCCTTATCAGTGATTAATTAGTGTGTGTTATTTTAGCTGCATGTTGTTTGTTAGAATAGTATAATGATGGTCTTTCCTTCTCAGTACTTTACAGAGGTCTAATGAGTTATAGTAAATAGGTCACAATGGTGATGTGCGTATGTTAACATGTTGCAGCCATGCTGCATGTGTCAGCAGTTGTCTTGGCATCAAATCCTGGCAGCTTTGGGTCTAAATAGGCTCATACTCCATGCCTGTCAGTGTGACCTTAAACTTTCTTTTGTTTTGTTGTTGTTGTTGTTTTTGCCATTGTGCAGCAGAAAACACTACTATGGTCAGTTTGACAGTTGTGGTCAGTCAGCTGTGCAAAATGAGATGAGGGATAAGGATGCACCAATACCACTTTTTTCAGACCAAGTACAAGTGAGTACTTACATTACACTGCTTGCTGATATAGAGTAATTCATGCAATGTTTATACTTTAAAAGTAAAAATAACAATAAAAGTGCCTTTGCTTTACAGTTTTTATTTTCACAAGATTTACTTTCTAAATAAAATGACAAAATAAAATACATAACAGGAGGCTGTGCAAATAACCTTAAATCTTTGTAATAACAACAACGCCACCATTCCAATCAAATGTCACTGACTGAATTTCACAACATATAGTGGTTTTTAACCTTTTTAGGTGTGTGACCCTCTTAAGATGAAATGATATCGTGACCCCCTCCCCGTCCAGACCGTCAATATTTAGGAGCATATAATATCAGGCTGCAATTTAAATGTTGAATTTAACGAGGGTGCAGCTTTTACTAGATTTAAACTAACTACTGTCCTCTCCTTTCTGCTGGACACACTCCCGCACTGCTGTAGGCAGAAGATCTGCTTGGGCCCAGCCCCCAAGTCCACAAAATTTAAAATGATACTTTTGTTGCATGTATGATCAAATAAAAATGTAGTTGTGTGAAATAGGCACATAGTATTGTTTGATATCGATAGCAAGCCCTTGAATCACTTTATTAAATTCTGTGTATGAAGACTAGCTGTTGTCCAGCTTTGAACTAATGCTGTTATGGTTACTGGTTAACTGGTTGATTGATTAGTGTCATATTTTTCTTTTATATATAGAAAGCAAATACTATGCTGTCATTAGGTATTTTTCTTATGTGAACATGTGTTTTTTACATGGCTGCAAAACAAAATTCTCTCCTTAGGGGACAATAAAATGAGGTTGAAGTTGAATTGAAATTGCACCATTTTTAAGTGTTGGCAAACACTGGATTGCTGGCTACAACAATGAGTGAAAGTTCGTATTGTGTTGAAACTACTGTTTTACATCCCTATTTGAAACTCACATTATTATTTTAAAGTAGATGTTCACCAATCGATTGGCAGAGATTGCAAATTAATTTGAAGGGCAAAGCCATTTGGCCTTCAAATTCTTACATTTTCGGTGGGCACAAAGACCCATAGATAAATTACATGTATGTATGTGTACATAGCTTATATTGTATGTAGACAGCCTGAGCAGTAAAGTTACAAACTAGGGTTTGGTGTTCAAAACATACATGTATAAATGAAAGTACAGATGCTTGTAGATCTGTTTAAGGCAAATGTGCAGAGAAATATCATTCTGCTTCATTGGCAGTAGAAATAACTTTGAACTTTTATTACAAGTTTGATAAATGCCTTTATCTATCCCCTAGGGACGCTCCAATACCAGACTGACTACAAGTACTTAACATCTGAGTATTCGCTGATACCAAGTACTGATACAAATATTTAATAATAATGCAGTTTTTCTAATACAAAAATGACAATTATCATAAAAAACTTTAGAGACTATTATTTTCATGAGATTTACCTTTTGATTCTGATTAAATAAAATAGAACAGGAGATAACCTTACAATACATTTTGCTGTGGGTATTTATTAAGGACTGGGGATTTAGTATTCTTTGTTTGTTTGTTAGATCGATAGGTAACGTTCGTCTTAAAGGCAGGGTTGGCAGATCCTGGAAACACCAGCAAGAAGAAGCTTGATTTTGAAAATAGATGACCAAAGAAATCATACCCCTTCGTTATGACTTCTCTGCAAAGTCACACCTCCAAAACACAGTGCACACTGCCTGACTACTACTTACAGATTTCAGGAAAATAACAATGCAAACAAAACAAAACCGGTAATTACCTGTCCAGCATGGCTGGAGCATCCTCCTCACCACCAGTCGGACAGAACTGATGATGCCTCTTGGATGAGAGGTGAAACGTCTTCTACCTAAAAACCAATTCCAGATGATTTTTTTCTACATTTTTCAGCGTAGATGGGGACCTCTGGTTCCTGATTGGGTTAAACAGCTTTAGCCCTGGCTCATACCTGGTAACTAACCTTAGAAGTCCTAGAAGTCCAGTCTTTTCTGGCAAGAAGAAGTGAAGGGGGAGGCCAGCTAATGCTGTACAAAACACAGGTTTTATTCCATCTTGGTAACACGATCACTGCCTGTGGCCTTTGATGCCCAGTTAACTGGGCGTTACAATCCTATGTATACAGCTGACTACTGTTGGTATTTTCCCCACATGTGGCTGCATGTAAAAGGAGTCTGTTCCCTGTGGCAGTCTTCTCACTCTCATACTGCTCACACAAGCATGCAGGTAGTAACGTCTGGTAACAGCAACAACATTACCTATAAGGCTATATGTCTTAAAGGAGAAGGCCTGGCCTGTGACAATGCTCTGTTTGTGAACGAAATCTGCTGTGGCTACCTTCTGTGCCATAGCTGCAGCACAGAGCGGTAACAGGTCTGCCTGTGCTTTCAACATCTTGTGCGAGACTCTTGGGTCACACATTGAGTGCAAGGGCAGAGTAGGCGCAAGTAAGAAGTAGGTTGACAGGCAGGTAGGCCATTCATTGGTTTTGCTTGGGATGAGTAAGATGATTGGTCAGTCATTTTTCAGTCCTGCTGCTGCCACAGTTGACACATGTTGTCAGTGTGTTTAATGTATTCATTGCCATTGAGATGAAAGAGAAATTCAATAAATGTACCAAAAAATGCATCTCAAAGTATTTGCCAACCCTACCTTTAACTGACCAACATTAGTGTTACTGTTGACTGCGTGACACCTCTACTGCTTGCTTGTGAGTTACTACACCTAATACAGCCTACAGTTTGCTAGCTAGCTAGTTAGCTAGCCATGCCTTCACCCTGGAAATGCATCTTTCCTACATGTTCTGATTGGACATAGTTTCAATGAATACTCCTTATTTTTTTCTTGATTTTGAAAGCTAATTTTATATACTTGGCAATCTTTTTAATCAATCAAATTTGTCTGGGTGGTTAATAGGTGTGACAAACATATTTGTTTCTACTTTACCCCAACTATAATTCATTTAACTTTTTTGCAGCTATCCACCATACATTAGTGGATGTCTGCATCCAGAATGTTTATTCTGGGTTAATAAAAATGATGTTGTAGATAAGTGAAACATTATTTGTCCTAGGAGGAATGATTTTGTAGATCATAATAATCATAATGCCATGAATGGTATTAGAGAAGCTTTAATGCATTAACCCACTGACTGTTACGTTTTTCTTTTCTTAGCCTTAGTAATAGCTGTACAGTCTTTACTAGCTGTTATCTCAACCAGCAGTCCTATTGTTTTAAATTAATGTTACCAGCTTCTGTCAGATGTAATCTGTAGATTGAGTGCATAGGCTGGATGCTTTCTGCTGACATGCTGATGGATTGACGCTGCGCAGCTATGGTAGGCTAGTTCAGTTTTACAACAGACTTGCTGTACAGCATTTACTTTTTTCAACTTGAAGTGATTCCAAAGTTTGGACGCTTTCTGTTTTATCTTGCTAATCATTTTCATCACCTCTCACTGTT